TGGTTAATGGAATTATTGACCCATCGGGTCAACACCAATTTCCTTCCCAGAGGCTTTTGTGCTTTATGCAATAGTGCCTCTGCCACAGGTTCGCTGGTTTCCGGCGTCCTTTGCAAATGGTCATTAGGACGCAGGTAACTAGTAATCGCCATATTGTTCCATTTGGGCCGGTTTTCTGGCCGGAAGGAACGTGACTGAGTGACGTAATTTTCCATGCTCATACATACTGCTTGCTTAGACTTACATATTTGAGATGTTTCTAACATTCCTCGCTGTTTCTGTGCAAATTTATAACAAAAGAAACAGTTTTTTATTCGTCCAACTTTTGAAAGTAAAAGGAAACCCCTGCTCTAGGACCACAGGCGTAAGCGCTGACGTCAGGTAACCAAGGGAAATAGAACAAGCAATGAGAAAGTGATAGACCAATCGGAATGCCGGATTCGTTACTAGTTACCGGCCTCTTGTGGCTTGGTACGCCATGACACTTGAGGCGGGAACCAGCCAATGCCACAGGCAGCCTTCAATTTTGTGGTCAATCACCTCACTACGTACGATCATTTTCCTGTAGTTGTTACATCTGAAAATGTATTACAAAAAGTGGGAAAAAACATCTGTGACTATTTATTAATGTCAGACTTTAGTAAAAACGTAAATACAAACTGTTTTATCACGGACTATGTTTTGCAAGGTAATGTTATTTTAGTGAAATGGCGCACGTGATAAACTAAAACTAGGGAAAACAGCGTTCTGTTTATGTACATAAGATGGGGGAAGAAACATTAAACACTAAATTTACTCGAAGGGATTTCCTAACAAATCCGTTCGTCTTGTTTTCTGGTGAATATTTCAATACTATTTCTAGCTTGAACGGATTCGATTCACCGCATCTAACAGCTTCTAACAGGTTCTAATAAGTTTATAAAGTTAGTAATTTATTGTATAATGTAATGTCTTGATAACTTTGAAAGGACTGCACTTTCCAAGCGTAAAACATGTATGTTTTAATTCAATTTCAGATTTAGGACGTAAAACAATTTATTAAAGTGATTAAAGTAACACGGTGGCTTAAGCGTAACTGTGTTAACCGACGGGGTCTTGTGGTTCGAACATATTCGAGTATGCAAACGATTCTATGCAAAGCTGCCTTGTGCAGTGATGATAAGTAACGTGTATCGAACTGTGCAGAGTTCGGGTCAACACATGCGCGTCAACTAATACGTCACAAACATCATGGCGGGCCGTGTTTTTACCGAAGCGATCAAGTGATCAAAAATATCCACTCTTGATAAAACTAAGTCAAATTTTACTTTTATCTCATATCAAAAAAACAAAGTAACATTCTTTGCTTGGCATCATGACTGAGTAAGAGGAATTATTGGTATAATCAGTGTATAACATTGCGAAGTAAGTTATGTCACGTCGTAACTTTGAAAGTTCAGAAGTTTTATTTGTTCGTTCATTACTGTGAATATATACGTTTTAGAAGTTGATGGTACGAATAATAAATTACAACAATACTCCAAATAATTACGTGGTCGATTTTTGAAGGAGAATGTATTTGGAGTAAATAATACCGTGAACATATTCCTGGCTGAAACTTTTCAAATGCGTTTTATTTAACTTTTTACAATAGACTTTAATACTGCAACAATAATTTATTTGTTTCTGTTTTTTAGTCTGCAGCATTCGCATTTCGAATATATTTAATTTTTAAATTCAAACTCTTCTAAATTATGAAACATGTCTTAATTCCAAAAATATTTGCATTGCGACCGAACTCATTAATATTTATTGCTAATTAATATTCATATAGCTCATTAATATTCATGACCGACCGGCACTCACTTTGGGCTGGCAAGATCCCTGATTGAAGGTAATTCCTAAATGCGATAATTTGGTTTCTATTTGTACTTTTCATTTGCCAATTAATGCAAAATCTGTATTTCCTACTTTTTTATTCAAAATCATAATTTTTATATTAAAATACTAATAGTTAATTTCCAATTTTCACAATAATTCTGCAAATTCGAAAGAGAACTTTGTAATCCTGACTTAGGTTTTGATAAGATTACAATGTTAATAAATATACAAGTTATACAAACTCAGTTACAATTTGATTGGTCAAAACTTCTCAGACAATCATTTGATGGTTATGCCACATGAACCACTCTTGCTTCACACATGTGATTTATATGCTGTAACTATCACATATGGTTTAACACTTATCCTGCCAGACCCATGTACGCTTGCATTGACATGACCAGATAAGGGTTAGTACAATGCCTGTGGTATTAGTACAGTGCTCTGCCTATAGTATTGCACCATATTTAAATAATTAAAAATGCCAAGACCATAAGATTCATGTGATATCGTACTATAACTTGTAAGTAGTAAACCATTGGAAGTCAGCATATTAAAATAAACAGTTTAGTCATAGTAAATTTGTGAGTGAATTATCAGGAGTATTAATGCAAAATTTTCATAATATTTTTTAAAGTTTTTATACTAGTAGCTTTGCGATGAGTGGCTTTCTTAGTGAGTAGCCTTCGCAGTGAGTAGGGCTTTGCCACAGTAACTGGTCTTTTACATCGGAGGCAAGAATTAATGTTTTATGTGTCATTAACAACTGGTATCAATCTGGGAATACCATTGTTAGAAGCTGTTATTAATTTGCCTTTATGATTTGTGCAGTTGCTCTGGCAGGAATTTCCTAAATAAGACCCATGATATGAGTCCCATATTGACTATGTCCCTAACAGTTTACTTAGTTAATACTTACCGTAAACTTCCTTTTTGAGGCCGCAGCTTTAATAGAAGCCGCACCCCTAACTTGAGACATTGTTTCATGTTGAAATTGACAAGTTTTGATCCCAGGGAAAAGTCTGCAATATAAGCCGCACCCCAAACTTTCACAAACCAAACAGCCACCACATATTTCAGAAAAAGATATACCATTTAATTTTAAATTAAGGCATAATTTTTCGAAATTTAAATGATTCCTGACGCTTAAATTAGAGTCTAATTAAGGTTTTCCGTAGTCATTGACGCTTATTCCAGAGTACAGGTTTATTGTGGGTAACGTGACTGGGTAAACTGCATTTCGGCAATC